AACAGCTGGTGCTTGGGTCCTCTGCTCTGCAGTGCTGGAAGGTGGGCGGGCACTCTTGCAATGTAGGAATGGGTTCATCATTTCTCTCTACCTCCTTTCACAGTGGCTGGTTAATAACATTTTTAGGAACTTGATCAAATGCTAGAAGTAGCATGCTCTAAGGATAATTTAGAAGAAGTTTCTTAACCCATAACAACCAGTCAGCCACAAAAAAAAAAGTTATCCTTCTACTGAACAGACTGGATTCTGATTGTTGGCATAGGTTGATGTTAATATTGCTCTATGAAAGAATGTCTAAAACCCAAACTATTTTTAATTATGGGTAGAATAAAGGAGTATTAAAAAAAAATTTTTTTTCTTTTTCACCATCAGTGAGAGATTTCCTTTTACTTTCTGCCCCGTAGATTTAACAGGAGGTCAGAGAGTATCTTTCCAATGTGGGGTAATTCTCCCTCTAAGACAGTTGTCACAAAAGCAAGTGTCCCCATTGGAAGATCTTTTACATTTTTATTTTTTTTCCCCCTGTTCTGGTGGCAACCCCGTTTTGGATGAACCCTTCTTTTTATTCCCAATGGCGATCAGGACAATTGGCTAACAGAAGACAATAAAAACCCGACAGTGGTTTTACTCCTGAATATTCTACCCAGAACTAAAAAAGAAAAAACCAAAACATTTTGCCTTTTAGTAATACTTTAAAAAACCTGATTGTATTTGTAATTTTATGTCTTCATATCTTCACCCCCTCTCCCCATACTGGATCTTTTTTGTTTTGTTTGGTGAATTGAATACAGCTCAATGTTTCTTAGAACATCACATCCAGCCATCAATCTTAGCAGGCTTCAGTTTGAAACATAAAACAGCGATCCGTAGTGAGTTTGTTTATTGCATTAATGCAGCTGATAATAATGAACTATATAAATCTCCTGTGAATTGGGTAACATTAAACTACTTTTTTAAGAAAAGGAATTAAATACCATGTTTTATATGTATGACCTCTCAAAGTTGTGTTTTTTTTAGGAACAAGTGTGGCCTTTTGTTACCTTTAGGCTATTACCATGAAAGGCACAACCCAATTAAATTGAAAAACAAACAAAAAAGAAAAAAACCTGTTATGTCAGAAATATGAGAACTGCCATTGTTGACTTGTTTTTAAAGGTGAAACTGTATGGCAGTCATCCGTATCCTGGCTTCGATACTTACTATTGAGTAGCCATTGAGGACTTGAAGGTCTGAACTGCCACCCTGTATGCTTGTGTCAGGTCAGTGACTCACTGTTAGCCTAATCCTAATGCCCTTACTATCAGCCATAGAGCCATTGAGGTTCATTTATGAAAGGCAGATAAGTTGTTCACTGTGCAAGGCAAATTTCCCTTAGTTTAGTGAGAGTGGTGAAATTTCACTTTGCAAAATAAAAAAACAGTATATTTGCTTGCAGTGATTGAAAGCAGCAGAGCTTCACCTAATTAATTAAACAACGGGGAAACTTCAGCTGCAAAGTGCAAATTCCCTTGCAAAGTAAATGAACCCCATTGGCTCTATGGCTGATATCTGCTGAAATACAGTGCTTCACTGACCTGACACAATTATGCAGGGTGACAGTTCAGGTTTCAAAAAGCAAACATGCCGAGAAATCTCAAGACATTTTTTAAGCCCCCCCCGTTTATGTTTCTATTAACACAGCATACCTATTTTTTTAAAACTATATTTCATATGTATTTTTAGCTATTCTTTTTAAGCAGGATTAAAGATAGAACACTATAGGCTGCCTTGAATAAATGGTAATGTGCAGATATAAGGACAGACTGAGAAACATTCTAAAAGTGCAGCAGCTTACAATGGGGTTGATTTTTAATAAAGGCAAATTGTTTGTTCACTTTGCAACGGAATTTGCATTTTTCAGAGGACGTTTTCATTACCTTTCTAAATGTGTGTAGAATTTCACTTTGCAAAGAAAATCCAAATGCATGCAAGGAGAATCAAAACAAAACACCCAAAATGTATTGCTTGCACATTGGGTGATACAGCTTTACCTCATTCACTAAACTAAGGTGAAAGTTCCCCTGCAATGTGCAAATTCCCTTGTGAATTCATCAGCCTCTTTGCCTTTAGAAAATCATCCTCAATGTCTTGAGACCTTTAACCCTTTGTTAGGACAGACTAGTTCACAACTGATAATGGAGATCTGCCAGCACAGTACAGGCAGGGTTCATTATAGTATTTGAGGTTGAATAAAGACACAAGTCCATCAAGTCCAACCTATTGCGTGTATGCATTTATGGTTGAGCTGCTGTGTGCGTGTGTATGAGTCCATGTGTGATTCTGCTCCTAGCAGTACCTGTACCCCTGTATGTTATGGTCACTAAGAACATCGTCCAAGAGTTTCTTGAATGATTCCACACTCTTTGCTGAAATCACTGCCTGTGGCAATGAGCTCCAGACCTTGACCGCTCTAACTGAGAAGAACCCCGTGTGCGCAAACACAATTGCCCAGCCCCCTCATAAACCGGGATAACTAAGTAGGCTTTTTTAGTCCTGCGATTTTTAGCCAAAGAGCATCTTAAAAGATAATTTTAAAATATTTTGAAAGTTATGCTATGTGAATGGGAACATGTAACAAATGTAGAGTAAATGGTATCCCAGTTTGGCTGCAATGGACTATATGGAACAGGATCATAAAAATGAGGTACATCAAGTAGACTTTTGCACTGTAGAAATACTGCATCGCTAGCAATTCGCTGGTTGGCTTGTAGTGGTTAGTCACATTCAGCTGGACTTGTTTTATAATGCTTAAGACATGTCACTGCTCATCAAAGCAGTGAAACATCTCCAGCATTGGAGAACAAGTACAGTTGCATGTAACTAACTACTAGTAGCTATACCAGGACCTGGATAAATGAGAACTTAGACAATTTGCTGGTTGATTTAATTTGTTGCCTGGAATCTCCTTCTAATACCTATTTGCATATGTAAATGTTTCCATACGAGTTGAAAATGTTTTGCGCTTTCTATTTACTTTTTATGGCTGTAGAACATTGTGGTTTATTATCAGGTATCGGAAGTCAGTTCAGAATTGCCATGGGCACATTGGTGGTGGCTTTCTATAAGGCAGCTTGTTGTGCTTGAAAAATGCCTACTCAGCTGTACCCATTTTACCATTTTAGTGCCAGTAAACATCTGAAAAGTTTAGTATCAATTTTTATTTGAACGGAATTTTAAATTGGGTGTGGCTTTAAATGGTTTTTGTTAAGTGCAGGGAATTTTGGTGTTAAAATAAAAAAGCCAAACTAAATCTGATTTTCCAGACTTTGCATTGGAATGTTCTCTGGGGACGGCTTTACTAGGGGTTTTGCACAGGCAAATTAGAGCTAAATCATCTCTGAATTGATGCTGACACTGTCCTTCCTTCTGGAGGGTGACTACCTTTCTTCCCCATGGTCCCTGAGTGTGTTGTAAGTAGTCACCGCTCCAAGCTCACGCCTGTGATGGACTATAACTTAATTACAAATTAACTAGATATGAGATTGTAGTCCATCATAGGAGCGGGCTTGGAGAGATGGCTACTTTACAACACACAGGAAAATAAACGTAGCCCCCCTCCAGAAGTAAGGACAGTGTCAGCATGAATTCAGAGATGATTTGAGGATCTACAGTCGAGTGATACACAAATAAGATACATTGTTGTTAATAGTTGGGGTACTTAAATGTATTTTTAAGATTTAACTCCTGAGTTAAGTGTCACTTTAAAGGGGCTCTAAGAATTGCAAAATGGTTTAGATATGGGATCTGAAGTAACCTGTTGAAGAGAACTTTAAGGGAAAGTACTTTGAAAAATAAATGAAAAAAAAAATCCTGAAAATATAACATATACAATTGCTACAAAAGCCATTTTGAAATGTAATGTTATTAAAAATCACCTTTCCATTAAAAACAGCAGCCTCTTTTTCAAAACTAAAAAAAAAGTGTAACACAATAAAGCGACCTGGAGGTGTTCTATACACAGTTGGTGTTTGATACACCGCCAGAAATGTCACATGCTTCTGTGATTGGATGACTGATTTTGACAGACGTTTGCACTAAGGAAATAAAATTTTAAGCATCCATTGCAAAAGGAATTTC